TGAGAAGCCAGTCTGCAACAATATCTGAGAAGTAGATTTTTTTATATCCTTGCAATTCAAAAAATATTACTCAAAAGTGGGTGACATGATTAGGATTTATCTGCATGTATAAGGCAAAATAATGCCATAAAGTCTATGGCAGCCACACTCTTGAACTGTTTCAACTCTGGCATCAAATCTGTGTCATCTCCTTGGAACACCAACATCTTAGTTGATTATATCTGATGTAATAAAATTCAACATCTTAGAAAAATTATGAGACAGAAGTTTGTCCCATCCTTCATGAGACGGAGAAGTCAGGGATCAAAGGGCCATGTCTGATGATGGCCTGTGACCTGCACATAGCTTGGTTGAAGCATAAGTGCACACATAGTGGACAGAGAGATAACCAGAGCTGATTCTAATTATAAGAGGCCCACTCCATTAACCCATTCCCAGGACAATGCAGGAGTCGATTCATGAGGACTGAGCCAACAGATTTTAACCACTTTCTTACTCATTTAATGGTATCTACCTATATTTTGTGGATATCTTTACAGTATATATTATGTACAGAGATTAGGAATTCCTCCCTCCTAGCTTAAACTGCACCTGCCATTACATTTTTCTCTATACTAGTGTTGTTAGGATTGATTTAAATCACGTAGACTTTTTAAATTATATTTCTGAAAAACTAAAGATTTTATTGGCTCCACCATTTTAAATGTAGTACATTCTATTTTTTAAAGTACACATTGGTTCTGTCATGATCTTAAAATGTTTCATTATATATGTTATATGCAATATATATCTATTTCTCATTCACAAATTTGATTTATTATTTGTGACTTTCACATCTTTATTTTAAAGTATGTTGGAGGATTGTTAAAAATTAAGGAATTCCAAAAAACTTGGCTTTGTTTCCAGTGCCTCAAACCACACAACAAATATAAAATACTATTTTTAAATATATTCAATATTTCAATTTGAATTTGCTACAGATTTCCTATAGATCTAGTGCTGCTAAATTGGTTATGAGAAATCAGAATAATTTTTAATACTTCAGAATTGGATTTGAAGAAATCTTGATCAGAAAGAAAGCTGAAATATAATTCAGATCTATGATAAGAGATATCTTCACTCAGCAATAAAAAACACATTGAAACATGAGTCCATTATACTTTAATTTATGTTATTAGGCTTAACTCTAACTAAATTTACTTTTCTCAAGGAATAGAATGATTTAATTTCATGTCATCAAAGACATTATTTGCTAAGTACTATTTTGGATGTTTTGAAATCATCCTTCTATTGCATGTAAGCCATATTTTTTCATATGAATCTTTCATGTTATTGATTAAAAAAAAAGTCAAGGTTTTGGTTGCATGTGTAACTGAATGTTAAATTCTTATTTTCTCAGTATTTAAATGTATATGGACAAATTATTCCTTTGAAGTATGTTGAAAGAGGTTGTGATATTAAAAAGTAAGTACCTTAAATCAAGGGGTACAATTTTAGTAATAAACATACAGCTTTAGATATTTTCATGTTTAGTTCTACAGTGTAGTATTACAGAAGTTAAATGGCTAGTATTTCTAACATAGGACAAGCTCATCAGCTGGAGAGAAGCAATCGGAAGCTATCATTCAAGATGGCCTCTAATGAGCCTCACCTTTTGATATTCATGTATCTTCCGACACAGAATAAGGTACCCTGCAAAGGCAATAAGATGTGTGGAAATGACAGATCATCACTTCTAAGATGAGATCGTAAAATACACGGCAGCCTGTAGCTTCTTGTCTCTTGGACCACTAACTCTGGAAGAAGTACATTGCCATGTCAGGAGGAAATGTAAGCCATCCTGTGGAGATGTCCACCTGGCAACTTGATTGGCCACCAATAACCAGCACAAACTTGCTCAGCATGGGAGTGGACTACCTGTGAAGCACAGGCTCCAGCCCACGTCAGGCCTTCTCCCAGCACCAAGGGACATCTTCAGTGACCGCCTCATAAAACACTCTGAACTATAAACAGCCAGCCAAAGTTCTTTTGGCTTTGTGATCCACAAAAGCTGTCTGAGATAATAAATGCTTATTGGTTTACGCTGTTAAATTTTGAGTTAATCGGTTGCTTAGTAATAGATTAGTGGCAGCAGGTACAGCGAATGAACATAAGCTGAGAGACTGACAAATGCAAAATGTGTCCTGATGGTAGCCTAAATAGAGTGCTCTCAAATAGGTTATTTTAAAGCTCTTATGTCTCTGTTTTGTCATGAGTAAATTGAGGCTAATAAATCTTACCTCACACAGGTCTGAAGAATAAATGAGATGAGAGAATTTAAAGGACCTGCAAAGTGAGGTGTGTGTGTGGGGTGGGGGGTGTGGGTGTGTGTGTGCATGTGTGTGTTCTCTCAGTAAGTGTGAGTTTCTTTTTTAAATTGTGCTTAATTTTACAGGTTCCTCCTTAAAGGGTTCAGGCTGATTATTCTCAGCACGCAGCACTGAATGTCACAGGATGCTGCAGAAGTGCAGATCAAGATTTGGCTGGGTGAGGTTCTGCCTTTGTCTTTTGTTTGTGATTATTTGTTTATATTTATCTGAATTGAAATCAAGCCTTGGTTTATGGGAAAAAATTCATAAACATTTCCTTATACAAAAGTACTGATATTTAAGTTGTTCCTGATTTTGTATGTAATTCCTAAGTATGATAGATCTCTTAGAAAATGTACTTCTACAGAGCTTGCCAAAACGCTGCCCTACTCTCAAATGCACCCGATAATGTCAGATTATGGACCTCAGCTGTCTGAAGAGAGCGTTGAAATATGCTGGCTCTCTTTTTTCTGTGTAGATCCACCTGGACCCTTTTTAGGTCACTGACTAAATTAGTTGAAAAACTGTAAGTGGACATTGCAATATGCAGTCTCTTATCTTGGAAATCCATAAGCAAATTTAGATGACTTTATCTTGAGCTTTCAACACTGACATTCTAACAGTTTTTACATCTTTTTATTTTGATTTTTTAAAAAGATTTATGATTGATTTATTTTCATTAGAATGTCAGATATGTACAGAGGAGGAGAGACAGAGCGGAAGATCTTCTGTTTGATGTTTCACTCCCTAAGCAAGTGCAATGGTCAGAGCTGAGCTGATTCAAATCCAGGAGCCTCTTCCTTGTCTCCTATGTGGGTGCAGGGTCACAAGGCTTTGGGCTGTCCTCGACTGCTTTCCCAGGCCACAAGCAGGGAGCTGGATGGGAAGCAGGGCTGCCAGGATTAGAAACGGCACTCAGACGGGATTCTGGTATGTACCGGGTGAGGACTTTAGCTGCTAGGCTACCACGCTGGACCCTATTTTGACTTTTATTTCCTTTTTTTGTTGCAATTCACTTTTAAAAAATATATTTATTTGTTTATTTGTTTTTATTTGAAAAGCAGATACATGGGGAGAGAAAGAGAAACAGAGAGCGATCTTTCATTCAGTGGTTTATTCCTCCAAATGACTGCAATAGCCTGAGCTGGGCCTATACAAAGCCAGGAGCCAAGGATTTCCTCTGGGTCTCTCACATGTGTGCAGGGGCTCAAGCACCTGGCTCAACTCTATCTGTATTCCCTAGCAGGAAGCTAGAATGACAGTGAAGCAACTGGGCCCAAACTGGTACCCATATTGTATGCTGACACCACAGGCAGAGGCTCAACCCTGTATGCTATGGTGCCAGCCATGGTTTCAGAGCCAAATAGTGCGCCAGCAACAGTGGAAGAGAGATCTTTGATTGAGTGGTGCACTTCTTTTTCAAATGGCTGGGACTGTACCTGGTTGAAGATGGAAGTTTAAAATTCAGGGCAGGTCTCCTGGGTGGCAGTAATTCAGCTATTTGGCCATCATCATTTCTTCCCTAAGTCTGAAGCAGCAGGAAATCAGAGTCATGAGCTGACATTGGGAATGGAATCCAGGGACCCTGATATGGGATGTAAATATATTAACTGCCATCTTAGGCTAAATGCCTATGCTTTTGATTTTTTGGTGACTATTAAAGGTCATGTTCAACCCTAGGTGTCATTCTATAGGGTTCTTTGCATAAATACTTGCAAAACTTCTTGAATTTAAATTTCAGCTCTGCCACTAAATGTAAGATCTGATGCAAATTAGATCACAAAAATTTTTCACAATCTGCTTTTCCAATAAATAAATGCACCTTTTTTAAAAATGGCATTTCATAGGTTCACATGGAATTTTCTTAAGTATCGCCATCCCTGGTTTCATACTGACTGTACCAAGGGCTGGTGGTTTCCTCTACTAGAAATACATCTCCTATTAGACCTATCAGAGGGCTTATCCATTTCCACAGCTTGATAGAAGCAGTTGAAGTGGTTTGAATGAGTCTAGTGGTTTAAAGTAAAGAGAAACTTGTCAAATCCTGCCTTCCAAGTTTCGACAGTTCTTGCTGAAGCTTTGGGGGCTTCTCAAGGAGACAATCACTCAGAGTAGCCTCCAAATCCTTTGGTTGGTCCTTTAACCATATATTTTATCCCCTCTACAGCCTCTTTAGTGAGAGAATATCTACAACATACTGTCCTATAAAACAAAATGTTACACTGTCTTGTGAGAGTGTCGCGCAGGTGAAAAGGTTGAGGCTTATCTAAGAAGCCAAGCAGCCAACAGTGGCTCCTATTGCTTTTGAAGTGCTCTTGTGGAAGCTGTGCCCGGGTTATTTACAGGCTGGTTTACTTCCCGAGTAAATACAGTTGCCAGCCACACAACAGGTTCAGAAGAGAGTGAACAAAATGTAATGCATCAGCAATGGAGGATTTTCAGGCTTTTCTGAGGTCATATAAACCAATGTGGACATTTCGTCTGAAGCTATCAGCTACTCCTTCCCAGGCGGGCCCCTTCTTTTGCCTGCCCTCTAGGAGGCTTCTGAGAATCATTCAAGCCAGTTAAAGAAATTGCTTGAAGTAAGTATCTGAAACACAAACACATTAGCTCAAAGTGCTTGAAACACAGTAATAATCGCACAGCCCTTACTTCTTCTCTCCTTTGTACCATTCAAAGGCTGGAGGCGGCACACCTGCACCTTCACATCTTATCAATCCACTGCGTCCGGGGGTCACAGTGCCAGATTTAATTTCCTGAATCGTAGGAGCAACTGAAAAAGAAACAGACAAAACCTGGTGGGTAAGAAAAAATAATCTTCAGCAGAAATATAACACACATATATTTTTATTCCTTCTATATTCAAAGCAATCTTACGCCTGATAGGCCAATGCATCAGATTTTCAGTGTTTTATGCTTCAAATACAAGAGTAGTCATTTTCAGCTTCATTTTTCAAGTTGGACATTAGATGAATGTTCTCGGAGAGTGCAGAGTAAATGCAATACATTTTAGCTTTGCTTCCCATTGGAAAAATGGTCTTGGTGAGGAGAACACTTCATCTGCACTGCAGTCAAACTCTGCTTCTGTAATAGCTCTCCTATAGTGAATGATCACTGGGAGCCAGGCATCGGGCTACGTGCTTTATGCTTATGATTTTCTCACAGTAATACGCTGAACTAAATGACTTTATTCCAATTCTAGCAATGTGAAAACTGAAGTTCAGAGAGGCTAGATGATTTGTCCAAGGTCACACAGCCACTTACTTCAACAAATTAGATTTTAATTCAGGCGTGTTGATTCAAAGCCTGAGTTTTCAATATTTTCTTTGCTCTGGTTTGCTCTTCTCAATGTTTTAGGTGTCGGTCTTATCCTGTTTCTCTAGCTTTATACAGGGTTCTGACTCTGAGAACTTGATCTCTTACATGTATTTTATTTATTACATTGTTATTAATTGTAGTAATGCTGTATTTCACTGTCAAATCCCAGAGGACAAGGGAAATATCTGGTGCTTATTTGCATATTAAGATATGAGGTCATAGTGCCTAACAGAGTAATGCTTAACATGATTTTTAGTAGCACAGCCCATTTCTTTATGCATCAAATAATTCTTGAACCATCAATAATGTGCCAGGTATTTCTCAAGACACCAAGAGTCAAATTCCTGACAAGATGTAGTTTATGTTGCAGAGACTCCAGATCTTAGAACACAGACTGTCTGCCGGAATCTGGGTTGGATGTGAAACCAGAATTTAAACTGCGGTACATGCACACAGGATTTGGCCATCCCAAGGGTGATTTTCCTGCTATACTAAGTATTCAGCATTTTTTAACACTTTTTAAATTTTTGTCAACCAAGGGTTTCTGTCCTCACATGAAATGTAACAAAATATATGTAAAGTATTTACAAATAAAACTTTACTTATTTGCCAAGTGCTGTGATTCTGTTTTATTTGTAAGAGGTACAGGGAAGATTATTTACCCTATTCCTCTTGCTCTCACCGGCTTTCATTTCTCCATTCCAGTTGCACTAACAAGTGGCAATCTTTTATGATATCCAAGTATTATTGAATATGAAATAACCATATGTAACAGGAGATCCATGTTTGTATTGATAACCTGATTAGTTTAATTATTCTCTTGTTTGTCATGAGAGCCATGGCTCTTTACAAACAAAAGCATGAAATCCGGAACGCTGCCTGAACACCCAGGTGTAATGAACTGAAATAAAACCTAATTTGTTATTAAAAAGCTTTTATGCAGCACAGAATGCATATGACTCTGCACTAGGTACTTTACCACACAAATTAAAGAAACATGTTCCTATTTCATAAGGCTGCTTAGGTGTTTATAATTATCATTGTGCAGGAATAATTATCATAAATGTCATACAGAAACAAGGAAAATGACAAAGAAGAAAAAAGTATTACTTTTAATAAAATGGGTCTGATAGCATATTTGTAGTAGGGAGACAAAGGGTTATATGTCTGTAAGGTAATTCACGTTGGAGTTTCATGTGGATTTCATTTTTGTGCCTAAAGTTAGAACCATAACCTAAAAATATTTTGGTTTTCGTTGGGGATATGGAAATTTGTATTATTGAGAGTTATTACTGCACACCTTTTAGACATAACTGCTTAAGAGGAATAATATTTATCTACTTGTTTATTCTTTCTTCTTTCATCAATTCAACAAATATTTGTATCATGGACCCCATAATGAAAAATAAACAATATTCTTGCCTCATAGCGTTTCCACTGAGTGCTGTAAATCGAAATGGAAATAAATCATAGCAACAAACAAGGGAACAGTAAAGTATGTTATTTTGCATGTTGCAGCGAGCTCCTTTCTGATAAGGTAACATTCAAGCAAATAAAAGGAGTTGTACAGCTACTTGTTGAAAATCACCAGAATGAGAGGAAACAGTAAAGTTAAAAACTCTGAATAGACAGCTCAGTTGAGGTGGAAATGAGTCGTAGAGATTTAACATTAGGAAGCAAACAACAAAAAATGGTTATCATTGCTCTAGCAGAGTAAATGGGAGGAATCCAAAAGGATTAGATTTGGGAGATTGGATCCCAGATTCTGTATGTGCTAGCAGCCAGGGTAAAAACTTGGAGTTACATTCAGGAGGAAGTAGGACTTTTTTTTTTGTTAGCAAAATCAAGGCTTGATTGGGACTTGATCAAGATTCTTTGCTTGTTGTGTGGAACATGATCTGCAGAAGGCAGAAGAAAATGGCAAGGCATCAAGGAGACTGTGTGTAGCAACCCTAAAAAACATGAGAGACATTGTCCAATCCACTGTGAAACACAGAATGAGAAAGCATTTACTTCAAGAAATCACTGATCCTTTTGAACTTAAATTAATGTATTTTAGTTAACTGGCAATGTCTTGCCACTTCAGGTAAGATTCCAAATTCAAACTATACTGATCCTTTGTATAAAAAAATGGGTTCTTTGGCTATATGAATGTCTTAGTATACCAATAAGGTTACTTTTCTACATTACTTTTCTTAGATTGTGGTCTCTCTCCATTTTTTCTTTAAATATTTATTTTTATTGGAAAGTTGGATATACACAGAGGAGGAGAGATAGGGAGGAAGATCTTCCATCTGATGATTCACTTCCCAAGTGGCCACAATTGGCCAGAGCTGAGTTGATCCGAAGCCAGGAGCCTGGAGCCTCTTCCTTGTCTCCCATGTGAGTGCAGGGTCCCAAGGATTTGGGCTGTCCTTGACTGCTTTCCACGGGCACAAGCAGGGAGCTAAATGGGAGGCAGGGCTGCCAGGATTAGAACTGGTGCCCTTATGTGATCTGGGTGCTTGTAAGATGAGGACTTTGGCCACTAGGCTACCATGTCTCGCTCAATCTCTCTCCAAATTTAGAAACCATAGAATCTATATGGTTTCAGTTATAACCTTTATAACCTTGGGACATATTCAGGGTATACTAGAATAATCTTTAAAGATTTATTTGCTTTTATTAGAAAGGCAGATTTACAGAGAGCAGAAACAGAGATAAAGATCTTCCATCTGTTGGTCTACTTCCCATAAATAGCTGTAATGGCTAGAGCTGCCAATCCAAAGTCAGGAGCCAGGACTTTTGCTGGGTCTCCCAGGATTTGGGCTATCCTTTGCTGCTTTCCCTGGCTAAAAGCAAACCAGGGAGTTGGATTGGAAGTGGATCAGCCAGTGCATGAGCTGGTGCCTGTATTGGATACTGGCATTTGCATGTAGAGGATTAGTTTGTTCAGTCATCACGCTAACTACAGGGAAAGCTAGAATATTGAATCAGTAGATCTCCAAATTCTATCTTCTACCTTAGGGTATGTGGTTTATACCTCTTAAAGTGAACTTTTATTACTACTTTTTCAGGCTTCCAAGTGCTTGTAAGTTACAATGTACTCAATTTCAAGTGAGGAGAAAGTTTCAATGACTTGTACCATTAGGAACTTGGTCATTTATTTGCCTGCATTAGATAAATGTACCTGAAAATAGTAAGTCTCCAACTGGAGACAAGACAGTGAAACTTATGTTTGTCCAAGTTACACAAAACACGCAGTGTGTACTAAAAAACTTACTCAGCAGGACCTTACTTGGGATCATGAACAAACAATGAAACCATGGTCATTGTTCCTAAAGACTATTTCTTTTTTCCACTATGTTCCATTTTTTTCTATGTGATTTTTGGGTCTGAATTAGCATATAAGATGAATTTACTAGAAATAAGGGGCAAATGTATGCATGCTTATGCATTTTTGTTTCTGCTATATTGTCTTTCCATGGGGAGTTTTGTTGTTGTTCTTTTCAGATGTTATCTTTCAATAATACCAATGCGGTGAAGAAGGTGTGGAGTCTCTCACATCGTAAGTATAATGGTATCCTTTGGAATACACTGATTTTTATGCATTTCTGAAAATTAAGTTAAACTTGTTAATCACAAAATGCATATGACTGTGAGCTGAAGCAAATGCACAATGAAAACAAAATCAGTTATACAGGAATGACGTTAGATACATGTAATTAAAATGCAAACACAGATGTTAGGAAGCCAGCAGTGTAGGGTCAAACAAGGGGTATTTAACACCTGGGTGATTAGATGTTCGGAAAAGAAGAGTTGTCCCTTTTTATTCATGCTGTGGGATTATTTCTTGCATTGTTTTGCCGGTCATTTCAGGATGAAGATAATGAAAGGTTCTTCATCCAAAACCATGCTCTGCAGGTGCAAGCAACAGAACCCCTGCGTTTGGCACCCAACAAGCCTAATCAAGATTCCTTCTCTTTGATATATGACAATAGCCACAAAGACCTTCTTCATTTTTTGCCCTTCTTTGTGTGAGTTTTGGTGATATGCTGGGTTTTTTTTTTTATGATCAAAACCTAAGAGAGTGAATTCAAGTATTAACTTAGTAGCCTTACTAAATGAAGATATTTGAATTGAAATTTTAGAACTCCAATGGCAAAAGAATTTCAATACCACCTTCTCTCAAAATGATGGACAACAATGAAGCTGTTACATTAAATGATTGCAACAAGTAAATGAGAATATCCAGAAAGAAAGGGTGATTTTAAATTTCTAAATGGAAGAGAATCATGAAGGGAGCACTGTTTGAAAGCACTGTTGTAAATACACATATTAAACTTGGGCTAGCAGGTGTGGGGAAGTTTTGGGCCCCTATCATATAATACCTGTGGAATCATTTGATATGGTTCTACCAAGGAAATCACAATCATGACTTGGAATTAAAGAAATCTAATTTTAAGTATGTGATTT